GGGGTGGCACCACCCACAGTGGGCTGGGCCCTCCCACATCACTCATCAAGAAGATGCCCCTCAGACATGGCCACAGGCCAGTCCAATAGAGGCAATTCTCCAATTAAGGCGCCCTCAACCCAGGTGTGTCAAGTTGACACTAAAGCTATCCAGCACAGTTCCCAAAGAGAGAATTCTGCCCCTAGACTAGAGTCTAGGAAATACCTTCTAGTTTCCCACCTTTAGACTCAAGAATTAGCTCATGATGTACAGCTGTATGTGTATTTCCCATGGCCCTGGCTGTTTCTCTGGAGAACACTGACTAATGCCAGATTCCCCCAACTGGCTCCCTTTCCTTTCACTTATTAATCCAACCCACTTTCAATCCTTTTGCATCCACTCTTCTTCCAGGAAGCTTTCCTAGACACCTGCTGATCCCAGCATCCACAGCAATGCACCACTCCTGTCCTGATGTGAGTCTACCAGCACCAGAGGAACAAGAGCTTGCATTTCACAGTCCCGTTGGAAGCATAGGCACTCAATGGAGTTTAATTCTTGACTGACTGGCTTTTGTTTGGGCAGCCTCTTTGGCCTACTTAAATCTACTATGTGAGAAGGCAGTTGGAGGGGTTGGGACCCCTGCTCAGGGCACACATTTGTAAGGAAAGTTCTAGGATATCTTTGCATAAGGCAGAAAGAAAAGATCCTTTGTTTCCTGTGCATAGGAAGGTGACCTGACCCCCAGGACCTGGTACAAGAGCATCTGTCCTGGCAATACATCCCTAAGAGGTAGGAACTTGTACCTCTGACCACACATCCCCATGTGCTGCCACACCAGGGCCAGGAGCAGTGCAGGAGGCACCTTGTGAGTAGGAAGTTAGTTTATCACAAAGCAATGTGATGAACACAAGCTAGAGGACAAATTGCCATCTACTTGATCTCTGCCCTACTTCTAGTCCCACCCACAATGAGCACTGACTCCACACAGTCAAATCCACGGTGAGACTCTCATAGGAACCTCTGAAGCCCAGATTCTCAGGATTTTCATCCCAAAAGCATTGCCAGCTATGCAATGCCCTGACTTCCTGCTTCATGTTTCAGGAACATCTGTGCTTCAGGAATCTGTTCCCTACATTGTGGAATGTCAAGTGTGACCATTTTCCATGTAACAGGCCCATCAGTGGCTCTAGGGCCACCAGCTCATTACTCACCACCAGCCAGCCGGTTCTCAAGAAGAGGACAACCCCAAAAATGTTGATCATACAGGATGTGAATACACCATCCCAGGTCCCAAAGAGCACTGGTTCCCACACAAACAGCTGTATTTTCCACCAGGGCTGGGGCTGGGCCAGGACACCCTGCAAAGAGCACAGTGAAGTCAGGTGAGCAGCCAACAGGAGGATCAGGGAGAGGAAAAAGAAACTAAAGTGGAACAGGAAGAGGTAGGAGAGCCATCTTTAAAAAACACCCACCCTGGGGCTAGGGCAATGGCTCCCTGGATAAGAGTTCTTGCTATGGAAACATGAGGACCTGAGTTTAAATCCTCAGTACCCACATAAAAACCTGGGTATGGCTGCACATGCCTATAACCCCAGCATTGTGGGACAGAGACAGGGGGATACCAGAAGCTCACTGGACAGCCAGCCCAGCAAACTTCCAGTTCAGTGAGAGACCCTGTCTCCAGTGAATAAGGCACATTTGAACATGCACACACGTGGTCTTGAAGGATGATTCTCTAATGGGATTCCTACTCTCTCCTAGCAGCAGGGGTCACTGTACTCATGTAGCAGTCTAATTGTTCAACAAAACCCAGTCTCTTTGCAGATGCTCATGTGAGTGGGTTCTAGGGGATGGGAACAGTCAGTCAAAAGCAATAGCAGGCTATCTTGAGTTAGTGGGGTGGGGCCCCTGCTTAGGCAACGTCACAGGTTCTCAGGACTGTCCCCCTCAGTCCTCCAGATGCAGGGAGAGTGAGGGTAGCTTCCAGGAGTTGCCCATCACATAACCCAATTTCATACCTTTTGCTCCTTCAGCCCTTCCAACACCTCTGCAACCAGATTCCTCTAAAGACCTCAGTAGTTTGTTTCTCTGTCTGAACACTGCCCTGTGGCTCCTGCACCGCCTTTCTTTCCAAGATGCTGGGATCTTACAGCATGCTTTGGCAGTTATTTTAGAATCAAAGGCAAATAGTTTATTCAATGGATCCTCTGCTCATTTTTCCAATTCAAAAATAACAAACTTATCTATAAACACTCAAATGGAAACCATTTGCTAGTAGACTGAAAGCTTGTGGGAATACTAAAATTACACAAACAAAAACAGTAGCAACTTATGCTGGACACTGCTCTTGCACAGGCTAAGTAATTGATCTAAATTCAGACATCAGCAGAGTCCCCAGTCCTCTTAAACCATGTGGCTGTGATTAAGGATCCTTGGTAGGGTGTGAGTCAGGAAGTGCCCAAGTCACTGTGCAGTGTCTGTAACTGGTGAGTATATGTGGTTGAAACAGGTATTTAGTTTTGCCAAAATGACTTGATTCCTCATTGGGGCCCCAAATGTAACTAACAGGTTAAAGCCCTGCATCTCTGCCTTCATTCTGTGTCTGCCGTCTTTACTGTGGGTCACAACCTCAAAGGACAGTCTGAAGCAGAAGTAATCATCTCCTGGCAACCAGATTGTTCCCCTTAACCAGTAGATTAATAAGGACTTCTTCAGACCACCCTGCAAAGCCAGAACTGAGACAGTGATCAACCAGACCACACCCTGACCAGGACTGCTTAATAATATATACCCCCCAATTACTCCTCTACTTAAACAAAATTCATGTTAGAGCACCTGGGAAAAGAGTTTCAGTGAAGGATTATCTACACTGGTTGGCCTGTGTACATCTGTAGAGGATTATCTTAATTAAGTTAACTGATGTGGGAAACCTTAGCCCACTGTGGGCAGCATCATTCCCCAGGCAAGGGATTCTTGAGCTGTGTAGGAGTAGAAAAATCAAGCTGAGTGAAAGCGAACACAATACATTCATTTCTCTCTGCTCTTGACTGTGAATGTGAGTGAACAACCATCTCAAGTTCCTGCCACTGTGACTTCCCACAATGAGGGACTATAACCTGGAATTAATAGCTAAAATAACCCCCTTCTCCCCTAAGTGACTTTTGTCAGTGTATTTTATTACAGCAACAGAAATGAAACCAGGAGAGTGACCAATTGAATAAATCTCTCCTTTTCACCATTATTTCTTTAATTGTTGTACTGGGAGTGAGTGGCCAAACCTTGCTTTTGGGAGGCTGCTGGAACTGGGGCTTTTGCCCCTGAAGATTCAGTTACATATAAACACAATGAAAAGGCATAAAAATCAAGAATACAGGGAAAATTCTAGATACAGAGTCACAGAAGTCCAGCTACACGATGGCTGAGAACATACATACCCATGACCTCAAATCAAAGCTGGGCAACCACACTGTTCAAAACAAAAGAAGACCCACATCCCCTTTCTCCTTCTAGCCTGGGCACTGGCCAACCTCTTCTCTTGGCACCCTAGACCTCTGGACTACCCTTTTGGCCCAGACTCCCCACTGCTTCCTAATCCTTTGTACCCAGACCAACCCAATTCTCCAGTCTAATCCCCTGGAGCCCTCAAAGCCTGTCCCCTCCTCGACCTCTCCTTTGCACACCTTGCCTTTGACAGCCTTCATCCCTGGCTGTCCCACCCCCAACCTGTCTGGTATTCTTGAGGCCTGCTTCCTTCCCTGGTAAGTTTGACCATGCCTATTGTGCCTTGACTCCCACAACCTGATTTAAACTCCCAGCCTTCACACTCCCTTTCTCCCTCCAGTGTGGCACTGGCCCAACTCTTTTCTTGGCACCCTAGGCCTCTGTACTAACCTCTTGGCCCAGGCTCCCCAACTGCTTCCTGATCCTTTGCACCCAGACCAACCCAATTCTTCAGTCTAGTCCCCCGGAGCCCTCACAGCCTGTCCCCATCCCACAACTTACCTTTGCATACCTGAGACCAGCCTTCATCCCTGGCTGTCCCCACCCCCAACTTATTTGGGATTCCCTAGACCAGCCTCATTCCCAGACTGCCTGAGAGTCCTGAATCCTACCTCTACCTAGCAAACCTTTCAAATTGTATGGTGACTGCTGACTAGAGGGATCCAGACCTCAGGAGGAAACATAAGAGTATCTGATCCTCACAGGACTTGGGCCTAGGTGGGAACTCCTGAGCAGCAGGACTAAAGCCATCTGGTCCCTCCAATATAAAATCAAAAGAGAGAATCTGAAGCCTACCCAAATAATATGCCCCCACCAAACATCAACAGTCCTGTAGAGGTGTACAATGAGAACCCTCTAGACATAACACAGGACATGGAATTCAAAAGAACAATTATAAATATGATAAAAGAATTCAATGAGTTTAAAGAACACACAAAGAAATCAAAGAACTGAAAGAAGACAGGGATAAACTTCTGAGTGAATTCGTAAAACAGAAATATTGAAGAATACTCAGGCTGAAATGAAGAAGGAAGTGAAACACTTAGTAAGTCAATTAGAAATGACAGAAGAAAGCCTCAACAACAGGATGAACGAAATGGAAAACAGAGTGGATGAACTAGAACACTCAAGAAAAGATTATGAAAAATTTGATTATGAAAAATTTAAGAAAACACATGAATGGAATATGCAGGAAATCTGTGACACCATAAAAAGACCAAATTTATACATCATAGGCATAGAAGAAGGAGAAGAATATCAGGATAACAGTATGGACCAGATCTTCAAGAGAACTGTAGAAGAAAATTTCCCAAAATTAAAGAAAGACATGCCCATATAAATACAAGAAGCACACAGAACACCAAATAGGACCAGAAAAGCAACTCCCCACAGCATATCATAGTACAAACACTAAACGTACAGAACAAAGAGAGAATACTGAAAGCTGCAAAAGAAAAACAAGTCAAATATAAAGGAAAACCCATCATAATTACAGTGTTTGGGATCTGAAAAGTTCCCTGAACTGACCACTCAGACACTGAGTCTCAGTAAAAAGAAGCACTTTATTGGAGCCAACCAGTTGGGGACACAGTCTTGGGAGCTGTACTGTGACCCCAAGTAGTAAAAACACAGGGCTTTTAAGCATAAAACCCACAAAAACCACAAAGCAGGGGATTTCTATAGAAACCATACACAGAATAACAAGGAAAAGATTTGAAGAATATAGGGCTGATTTTCAGAGCCTTAACCCATACAGCCATTGGCTAGCTTACCTAGGGCAGAATGTTCTTTCTCTTCTGCCCCAGACCATTCCCATAGAAACCATGAACAGATGTACCAGGAAAGGATTTGAACAATGGAGGGGATTTCCAGAGTCAGGTGGAGGGCAGCTTTTTCTCAGAGGATAGGGAAGGGGTCTGAGGGACACTCTCCTTCAGTTAAACAATTTAGGAGGCATGGGCCCACCCTAAAGGCTAGGAGGGGTATTGCCAGAGGCCCAGTTGCTGCACTTATCAGGGTGGTGAGCCATAGGGACCAGGAGAAGAATGACTGGTCCCAATTGAAAATTTTTTTTCATGACATAAATAGGCTGAAAGAATACATGTCCAAAAAAACCAGCCCTTCAGAGATTTCTTGAAACAATATAAAGAGCCGAAGAAAGGAACAACTACACCCAAGGGGTAACAGAAAGAAACTAATGAAGGTATAACTGTGGAAACATACCGTTAGACCAACCAAGAATGCAAACAGAAATCAAAATGATAGGATGTAATACACATCTTTCATTAATAACTTTAAATATCAATGGACGGAATTCCCCAGTCAAAAGACACAGGCTAGGTGAATGGATTAAGAAATAAAACCCATCCTTTTGTTGTCTGCAAGAAACCCATCTCACTTTTAAGGACAAACACCACCTTAAAGTGAAAGGATGGAAAAAAATATACCAAGAAAACGGTACTAAAAAAATATCATGAGTTGCAATTCTAGTACCTGACAGAATAGACTTCAAACTAAAACTAATCAAAGAGATGAAGAGGGCCACTTTATTCTGATCAAAGAATAATTGACTGAAAATAAATTACAAACATGAACATATATGCACCAAACTCTGGTGCACCCAACTTCATAAAAACAGTACTGCAGGACTTTAAGACCCAGATTAATCCCAACTCATTAATAGTAGGGGACTTTAATACCCCATTGTCTCCATTAGACAGGTCAACAGGACAGAGAATAAGCAGAGAGACATCTGAATTAAATAATACCATATATCAAATGGACCTAACAGACATCTACTGAATATTCCAACCAAGAACCAAAGAATATACTTTCTACCCACCTCTCCATGGAACTT